CAATTTATTATTGTGTTCAAATGTTTCAAATGTTTTTTATAACTCTATTCAAAGTTGATATATTTTATAATATATTTGATTACTACATTCAATTATTTTTAGTTAATTGAACTTTATTTTTCATTATTCATACTTAAAATTTTACTATTTTTATTTTTATCCCTTTTACTAATCGTCGTAATTATAGTTATATTATTATAAAAATATCAAATGTAAAAGATATTTTAAGCAATCAAATTCATTTATTTGGCAATATGTCTTACATTTAATTTTTTTAATGTTCATCATTGTTCTATTATAGAGTAGTTTTTATCATTATATTTCAGTTTATAAGTTTTTGATTCTTGTTAAAAATTGACTTTTTTGATAAAAATATTTTTTAAACTTTATGGTACATAATATATAGATTTATAGTATAATAAAAATTGATTTACTTAGCATTATTATTTTTCCTAATGAATTTATTATTGTGTTCAGATATTTCTTATAGCTCTATTTAAAGTTGACATATTTTATAATATATATTTTTTTTGGTACAGGGACCTTCCGGTTTCTGGATCCACAGGGGAACCGACTAATAATAGTTTTATATTATAAATATAGCAAATATAAAAGATATCTTAAGCAATCAATATTCATGTATTTGGCATTACGTTTTCGCATTTAATTTTTTTAAATGTTCTTTATTGTTTTATAGTACAGTAGTTTTTATCACTAAATTTCAGTTTATAAGTTTTTGATTCTTTTTAAAAATTGACTTTTTTGATAAAAATATTTTTTAAACTTTACTTTAATGAAAGACACCTTTTAACTAAACTATGTAGTAAATAATTTATAAATGTATAGTATAATAAAAATAAAAATTGATATTAGTTAGCATTATTATTTTTCTAATCAAGTTATTATTGTGCTCAAATATTTCTTATAGCAATTAAATATAAATATTAATAAAAATAATAAAAGTAAAATAATAATATACTTTTTATATTTTAATAATTGCTAATATTTTTATAATTTCATGTGCAAAATTATATTTTGTTTTCTTTCATATTATGTCATGTGTTTTTTCTTATTAGTTTTTTTCTTATCTAATTTGCGTTTTTGCTATACAGATAATACATTGCAAGTGGAGTGTCTGGTCGCTAGAATGTGCTTTTCTCTTTGCTTAGGTATTTAAATCATTATTATATTAGTTAATAATTAAAAATATTAGTATAGAATGAGTATTAAATTACAAATTTGACATTATAAATATGAAAAAGTAAGGGTATTGTAGGCATATCATATTTTTACAGATTCATTAGCTCTTTTATAATAGTATAGAATAACGTTTATTATATGATTCGCTAATCTTTTATTTTTATGGTTGAGAGTATGTATGTACCACAAACTTTGTTGGGATTTTCTACAGTCAGGTTCCTGTTGTATCTATTTAACATCATATAACCCCTCATTTCGCCGTTGGATTGACTAAAAAATAAGAATCAACGATGGATTGAAGGGTACAAAGGTAAAAAAGAATTTTGGTAGCCTTGTACTCTGTCTTGTACCCCTCGTACTTGTAAAAACCTATTATACCCTTCGTACCCCTTATACCTATTTTATTTATTCTCAAGCCCCCACATACTTGTATAAATTATATAACAATCCTACAAATATAAAACAATTTCATCACAACCTAAAAATATTTTTTAAGATTCCAATTCGTCTTCTTCATTTGGGAAAAAAAAAAAATTAGACAAAACAAAACATTCTTCCACTTCATCTTCTTCCTCATTGTTCTTCTACATACAAATCCGACCAATTCCTTCATCCTCTCCTCATGATTCAATATCAGAACAGTATTATTACCCAAACATATATTCGAACAATTTACAATCAATATAGTTTTTGAAAATATTACCTATATTTAGGAAATGAATACGTAAAATTTAGGAAGACAAATTTAGAAAAGAATTGATATATATATATATATATATATATATATATA